AATTTCCTTTTCGGAATGAAGTACCCGTCTAGCTTTGAGACAACAACTTCCAAATCCTCCTTCTGCTCAGCAGTAAGCTTAAATATTGGTACGATATGCTCAGCCTGCGGACCCATGCTGCAAATCAACGCAGCTACTTGAACGTCACCGTCCTCTTTGTGTAGTCCCGATGCCAGTCTGTAGCGGACGAACCGATCACGCCAGGTCGGCCATCTCTCAGGCGATGTAAAGTCGAATTCCTCAGGAGGACGAAATCCAGGCATCACGACTTGGTTCACAACTCACAATGCTTAAATTAATGTGCTGCTCATGCTTGCTTAAGCTTACTCTAGGTTCAATGCGGCTGCGCCATATTCAAGTCCACGTGTTCTGTCTGCCCAGACCAGACACGAGCGCTGCGAGACGGCAACTGTCTTATCCCGCGAAGCGAGCGGGCGGCGCCGACCTCGGCGGGTGGCGCCCCAGGCAGTACACCGCCATTCGGGGCCGCGGCGTACCAAAGTGCAGCAGCACTGGCGGCGCGAGCAGGGGCGGCCTCAGGGGTACGCCAGTAACATCATGATACAGGGTCCTCTGCTTTCATCGAAGTCATCTGATAACCTGTTCGGGTGCACTCCATCTTGTGGAGCCTCTCCGCATTGGGTTTTGGCTATTTCTTATTTGAATGGAGAGCCCTTCACTCTTATCGGGCCACTTCTGATCAGTTGCTCGGGCACATTCCACCATTCTGGGGTCATTTACATGGCGTCTTTGATGCTTTCAATTCGAATGGAGGGCCTTACGCTCCTGTCGGGAGCCCTATTTGTTAACGTGCTCGGGCACACTCGATCATTCGGGGGCCCTCTACATTGGGTCTTGGCCCTTGGGTACTTCTTATTTCGATGGAGAGCCCTACGCTCTTGACGGGGGCCCTATTGCTAACCTGTTCTGACGTCCTGTATCATTTGAGGTCCTCTGCATTCAGTCTTAAATAATTTCTATTCGAATGGAGGGCCCCACGCTCTTTTTGGGAAACTTATCTGTTGACCTGCTCGGGCTCACTCGATCCTGCGGGGGCCCTCTACATTGGGTCTTGGGTACTTCCTGTTTGCTTGGAGGGCCCCACGCCCTTGACAGGGGCCCACATGTTAACCTGCTCGGACGCGGCCATCGTTCGGAGCCCTACGCCTTGCGTCGTGAGTATTTTGTGTTTGAATGGGTCGCCCTGAGTGTTTGGCAGACCCATCTGTTCAGCTACTTGTGCCGGTGGCGTATGCCGAGGGGGTGGGAGAGAAGCCTCGGGGTTACGCCCCACGGAACATGCCAAGGTGACCTAAAGGCTCCGAAGGGGCTCATAGCCGACCGGACGGACACAGTTTTCTTACAACAAAAACACAACAAAATTGAATGTCTTTAGTCCCACAGATGACTAACGAGCATTGTTAGCAAAACTAAAGAGCTCATAAGCAAATGAGGTCCATTCTTCGCTGATTGAGAAAGTGTTGCTTTGGGGGAGGGGGGGGGGGAATTTTGGGGCTCATTGCGCTGTCTAGAGGCATTACGCCGTTTGTTGCCTGGTCTTATATGTCTACTTGCCGGGTCAATATGATCGCTAAGGGGCTATCTACGTTGCCCTTGGTCTCTGCATTTTCTTGCAGGGCCCAATGTGCTGATGGGAAGCTATCTGCCTCCATGCCTGAGCACTGTTGATCGATCAGATTTAACCCCACAGATTCTTCCCAATCGCCCGAAAGGCTCTTCGCACTTTTTCCGGGGTCCCATTTACCAGGGTACACTCAGTTCCTCAGGGGCCCTTCATATAAGTTTCGGGTTATTTCCACTTGCTTCAAGGGCTCTTATAAAGTAAGGTACGGATGCACTCGATGCTCAGGGGCTCTATACTTTTATCGAGGTCTCTTTCCCTTTGGTCTCATTTGCGGAGGACTCTTCACGACTATCGAGGCTCGTGTTGTTAACCTGCCCGCGCGCTCTTGGTCGCATAGGGGTATTAATTAACGGTTTTGGATAATTCGCCTTTGCTTGAAGGGTCCTGTGCTATCGCCGGGGCCTTATACGTCAGCCTGCGGGGGTACTACCGATCATTTAGGGGCCCACCACGATAGTATTTGTTGTTGTTTTTTTACCTGCTCTGAGGACCCTATTCTTGCTGACGGAAGCCACTTTGTTGGCCTCCTGCGGCACTCATGATCGCTCAGGTTCCGTCCCTATTGGCTTTGGTGCGCTCGCCTTGGAGCAGCAGCCGAATATGCGCCGATGGATTTTTACGCGCGATTGCCGAATGTAATTTGACATGCCGCCGACGTCGCATGTGTCATTTCCATTGGCTATTGAGTGTGTGACATTAAGTTTTCTAGTGCATCATATTCTAGACATGTTTTGAACGCTTGGATATGCTGTACTCTTTTAAAACAAAGAAAAAATTAGTCATTAGTCATCAGCCATCAGCTGATTGCATCACCTGGCCGGCTAGCCGTAAACACATTAGCTAGGTCCATGCTGGGTTTTGATGGCTGTTGCGGCCAACTCAACTTTTTTTTGCCCGTTGTTCCGCTACACTTAGCTTCAAAATTACAGCCTTTAAAACAATCTGTAGAAAATGAGTGAGCTCTACGTGTATGCATGCGTAGCACGCTTATGCTTTAAAGGGCTGTGCACAGTAAGATGGATCTCCGTATTTATCAAATAAATGCAGAAGCAAATACATACATACATAAATATGTATATATATATATATATAAATATATATATATATATATATATATATATATATATATATATATATATATATGTCTGGGAAGCAAAGACCAAAATGCAAGGATGTCTCTAGAGGGGCCCTAAACTCCAGGGGGCCCCACAATGTTGCGTGTCCCCACCCCCCTTTGACGATTTTCTGGGTCCGCTACCGGAGATAACATATCTTATGAACTGGGTTATATTGAGTCGATGACCTCAAAACGAGCCATGCTTTGTGAAACTGGTTGATTTTTTTCGAATTTCGGGCGCTGTGACCATTTCGTTATAAAACGACCTTGCTAAGTGCCTAGCAACGACTACGATTTCAGATAAACAAGCACTCGGGTGGGTGCCAAATTGACCTCCCCTAAAGGTTTTTTCCGGAGTGCTATCCGAACGGCGCGGCGTAGCCGCGCCAAAATTTGCAGAGCTGTAGACAATTGAACAACCGATCGTCTGGCTTGGCAAATTTGGATGTACCCTGTAAGGTCACTGATCTTTCACGGGTTCAAATCCAGGCCATGGTTTTAGCAAGGGCAATTTCTAGGGAATTGTTCAATCTCATCCAACAACGGAGTGTTAGACGAAGCCATACATCTCTGAAATACTTTCCAAGGCAACACAACAGTTGAAGAAACGAATTACATTGACATAGAGTCATGTATAAAGGTCACGCCAAGGTCAAAATAAACCTGTTTTATTACTCTAGGGTTTGCTGTACGGGATAAATTCTGGTCCTCATTTTAAACTTATTCATAACAGGAACCGCATCATACACCTTCCATTGACTTTCTAAAGGTCAGAGAAGGTCGCTGACCTAAAATGACCGTGGTCAACATTCTGTTTTAACAACATACTGCCTAGTCACTCTTTCTTCAGAATCTTTGTCACTTATTCAAATGCAAAACTCAAAGCAGTCTTGTCTGATTTTGGTCAGGATGACCTTCAAAAGGTTAAGCAAGGTCACTGACCTCAAATGAGAATGTGACCTCTCGCTTAGGGGGTTTTAGGGCGCATCGACTGCTGTAGGTCATGCAGCGACCTTTCGCTTAGAGCAGTGGTCTATGTTCTAGGAGCCCCTTGGGGACCAAACTGAAATTCAACCTTCTTGACCCTATCTGACCAGAAGGTCATGACCAATCACTCAAACTTTGACCAATGTGAATTCACGTACAGGTCAACACACCCTGTGAATTTGGGGTCTCTAGCCCTCTTAGTTCCTGAGATCTCGGCGGGGGGCGGGGTAAATTGACCTCCTGCCCAAGCGAAGGGTTTCCAACCGGCCACCCGGGAGCGTGTTAACTCAGATCAACGATTGATTTTAAAATACCCACTTTTTAAGTGACATTTGGGCAACAGCTATAACATAGCCACCGCAGCATTTCCATGCTTACCTGTTATAGTCATATTCACGTTCACCGCATCATGTGTTCCAGCTATGAACCTAGAACCTAATGGCCACATATCACGAGCTTATAAAAATAGGGCAAGGAGTAACATACTTGTTGCATTAACCTTCACTGCGCCGTTATAATGCTCTGCATCTTAGCAGAGCGTGCGGCGCCAGCACTTCATTGCTGTTGCAGCGGCAGTGAGCCGCTCACTGGAGCGTCGCTGTTTCGATCACTGCGACCGTCGAACGTGTGGCACAGGAGCGGCCGGGTGTCTGGCACAAAACGGGCCGTGTGCCCGAGACGGGAGCGGCCGTTGGGCACAGAAAGAGGCCGCATGTCCGGTGTCTTTTTCCACGAGGCCTTTTCACTGCTATCCACTGAGGCCCATGCCCGTCCCCCAACAGTAGAGAAGGGGGCATAGCTCTCCCTTCCACCAACAACCGTCCTCGTTTCGCATGACAATGGCGAGGGTCAGAATCATTCCTTCATCTAGTTTCACTTGGTTCGTTTCTGGCTGGCCGTGCTTTACCACGAGTTTTCAATTTAGTGTTTGATGCCCAAGCGAAGCAAGCCAGCCGCAACTGTTGGCTTCTTTATTTCTTTCCTTGTTTCACATGGGCTTCCCATGGTCAAGTTTATCTGGTTGGCAGATGCTACACAGTCAACCGATCGACCCTCAAGCGACCTCGCAACCGATGCATCCTTTAAATCTCTTCATGTACTACCCAGCCCCCTTCCCGTGTCTAAGGCAGCTTCGGATTCGGATCGGATTGCTGCAGAACGCATGCGGCTCACCATCGTAAACCATCGCGCAGAAGACGTAGCGTTCCGCTCAGTTGGCGCTTGCCATGCCTGCGATAGCAAAACCATCCGTAGCTTTTCCATGTTGTATTCATACGATATTTGCTCTGTGATGAGCACTAGCACGTTGAACGCAAACCAAAATTTTCACGCAGAGGTGAAACGTGAAATACATGATCTTGCGTAGGATGTCAATGAGTGATCACCTTAGAAACATGCCTGTTCGTACATCCCGGACGCGAAGTGGCCATGACCATGCCACTTTCTACGAAATGTTCCGGAAAGAAGGCAGCATTCTTCCTTTACTCCTACCACTCCCCACCGCCCTCTACCTATGTAAATGCTTAACTGGACGGATGAGAATCCGTGAAGAGTCACCTGCCGGCCCCCAAAAAACCAGCAGTACCGCGGTCGCTCACCAGACGCCGCAGCGGTCGACGCGATTCATGGCGGAGCCGGCTGGGCACTGCCAGTCACGTGCGAACTGTGCGGTGTTGCTGAGCGCGGTGTTCATGCGCACGAACGCGGGTGCGTGGCTGTCGGTAAGCACGAGCTGCCTGAGACGCTCCTCTTTGTAGACGGCGCACCAGGTGTTGACGGTGCCCAGCCAGAACATCTGCTCGTTGGTGTACTGCTGCAGGCCGGGCAGCGCCGGCTCGCGCCCTTCACCGCGCTGGTAGCGGTCGTAGGCGCGGCGCGCGATCCGTATGCCGCCGTTGTCGGCGATGTTCTCGCCCTGGGTTATGATGCCGTTCACCTGCGTCCAGAACATAGGGTACGTTAACGGAAGCACGTGGTGTTTTGGCTGGAAACAGGGAACAACGGCTTTTGTTCCAAGAGTCTGTCTATGTCTTCATAACCATTGCCGACAAAGGAATTAATGACACCCTCCAAGCGGCGTTACTGGAACGAAAAGAAAACGGCCAAAGGTGTCGCCGCAAAACTTGATTTACCTGACCCTTATCACCTTAGACATTGCAAAAAAGGTTCCAGTCTGTGCCAGGTCACCGGTGTCTAACATACTAACCCTGGATTTGCTTAACCCCTGGATGCAGAATGCTGCTTTTTACAAAAGTGGTCAGTTTTTGTTTTTTCAGCGATGAATATTCAGTTGATAAACGTCAATAACATAAATAATCGTTCTGAAACACTATACTCTCCGGACGTCCATTTGTTTCCAAATGGAAGAAAGACAGTGGCCTGAAAGGCTTTGTTTGGCCCTAAATTGAATTTCGGCCACTTTTGCGACAAGTATGCGCAGTATAATGCGTTTATTCGGCTTTAAAAGTAGCAGCATTGCCCTGAAAGTCTGCAATTCTCCTAGTTTTTATTTCATGTACTGGGGCAAGGTCCAGTGGCATAAGGAAGGTTGCCTTACCCGAAATATCGCAAGGTGAGCTTGAAAGGGGTTTGAATTGGCCATTACTAAATTCCACCATCACCGATATGACTAACTGTTTTTTATGCTATTCATCACTCAGGACCACATAGAGAAGGATTCCGACAACCCTGCACGCGGCGCGAGAGGGAATATCTCCGACGAAGTGCGGCGTTCTCCGGGGTGCCCTACCGCGTGTCATTCAGTGCTTTGATTTAGTTCTGACCGGCATCTGCCTGCTTCCTGCTGCCTGCCTGCCTGCCCACACGAATCCGGCTTGTCTTCTGAGTCCGTGGCAGGATTGTATACACCTGCGGTGGCACATAAATGGGCCCACCTGCTAGCCCCCGACCACTGGCCCACAAAATGCGGAAAGGCCAGGCCCACCGACGAGATTGTATAGCCTGTGGTGACAAGCACTGACGTCACATGTGTGGACACCGCCTGTAACTCCCGCGTCCGCTGGATAGGAGTTTAGGTGTGCAACCACCGCCAAAGGGCCCACCGCGTGGATGCCATGCGTGCCCGCACGTGCCTGCATGTCGACCCTGTCGACGGTGATGTTGCCGTACTGTTCGATGATGCATTGGGCGCTGTCCAGGAAGCGGTCGCGCGTCTCCGGCTCCCACCATTCTTGGAGCTCGCCCTCGGCGTTAAACTGACGTCCCTGTCGCACGGAGAGAGGTCAGTGCTGAACCGGCGGCGGCACCAGCGCACGTTCAGCTGATCTTGCGATTAGATGAAATGCGGACGGAAATGGCTCTTTTCTGACGGAGAAAGAGGATATAAAAATCAAAAGTAAACAAGCAGTTGAGGAAAAGTCAAAGGTCAAAAGGTCAAACACGTCACGGTGTGCAGAGCCTCTGTTGCAAGCAGTTTGTTTTAGCTTGTCGTCGGACGTTAGTCGGCATACCCACCCTGTCGTCGAAGCCGTGCGTAATTTCGTGACCGATGACAAAGCCGATGGCCCCGTAATTTAAGTACTGGGGTCTGTCGTTGTTGTAGAAGCCTCCTTGCAAAATTCCCGCCGGAAACGCTGTAAAACCACACCAAATATGAGACGGCCGAATTAGGGTGCCAACAGCTGGTACCTTGTTCCAATGCAGCCATATAGCAGGAGTTTTCAGAGCCGAATAGAACTGCTAGCACTTGGGCTTAAGCATGCCATGCAATATTGCGCAACAGACGCACGGCCATCAAGGTTGTTACCATGTTGGGGTGGTACCACACACTAGGTGGAATTCGAGCCCCATTATGCGCTGTGCTTTAAACCACCACAAATGAGCAATCAGTTCACAAAGCCTAGATGAAAATGTACTGGAACATGCGGTAATGATAAAAACAAAACTTTCGTCGGCTGAACTGAAATGAACATGCCTTCGACAGCGTGTTATCCTTAACGCAGCAACATAGCAACGAAACGCACGTGTGTCGTAAGCGTCATAGCAATTCGACGGCAACAGGGACAGCAAACGTACTTCAAGGTAGACCAACACTTTTCAATTGTTTGCAAAACTGCTGGCAAGCGCAGCCTGACGCCAGTGCCCCGTCGTCGCTCCGACTGGAGCTGAGATACGACTGAAGTGTGACCAGCACTCTCGTGAGTGAGGGGCACTTACTGATGCTGTTATCCACGGTGTTGTAGAATGCGTTGACGACGGCGGCCCTGCTGTGTCGGCGCCAGTCCTTCTTGTCGACAGGATCGCGCAGCTTTCTGTAGCTGTAGTTGACGGCGAAGATACTGTGGTTCAGCTTATTCCGGAGGAAGTTGTCGTCGCTGAGTGTTAAGTTCTCGTAGAACTCGCCTACCAGAGTATCGTTTAGCAGTTCGTCTGGGTAGGCGATATAATAGCTGATGGTCTTCGACTTCTCAACTGCTCGCTCCCTGCAGAAGAACGACACGTGAGGTGTGGCGAAGTATCTGCAGATGCTGGCGGCCTCCATCGGGAACTGCGATGGGCCGAGCCTTTCCCCTGTGACTGCAGCGGAATTTCCCTGTGATCAATAACTTGTAACTCGTAGTAATTGTAGTACTTCTGCATCGTAAATTGATCGAACCACGATATCTCAGGAGGGAATGCCCGTTTCCTCTCTTTATGCCTAAACCCGTTGTGCATGTATCCCAAAGGTAGTTCATTGAAGAACAGCTGTCCGCATACGTTTAATCTTGTCCGTAAAACGTCACTTAAGATGCGGCACACATTTACGTCGGAATCTTAAGCACGGGATTAGCCCTACAAAAATTTATCACAGCACTGCTCTGGAAGTTTGGGCAAACAATAAGCCGAATGATGCATGCAAAACACGAAGAGTTGCATCTTAAATGTGTGCAGCTGAGTAATGATTCACACTTCATTTGACGTTACCTTGTAACGTTGTCCATCCAGGTGACCTCCTGCAGCATCATGTCGAACTCCTTGTGAACATCCGACACCAACCTCAGAGCCGATGTCTTCGACTCCTGGTCGAAGTGATTCTGCACATACAGGGATCCCGCTCCGATGGTAAATCTGGAAACAGAGAGCGCCGGTGCTGGTCAGTCTGAGTGGTTCTTCCAAGTGTAACGGACATTGACGTAGCTCCTGACATTAACCCGATGACCCACGAAATTTTCCGAGACCGTGCGCAAGCGCATTCTTCTTAAATGCCACTTGAACCCAAGGCGACGGCCGCCTGCGTCATGCTCACTTTCCCAAGACGCTCCCGAGACACTCCTTCCAGCGGGGCTTGTGCTCGGTGACGCCGTACACCTGACCGTAGAACTTGAGGCGCACATCGCGGGCCGCCAGGTTCAGCTGACTCACGGACCCCTTCACCACACGCCAAAGAAGGTAGTTGGCCAGTACCCTGTCGGCAGTGGGACCGCACGATAGATGGCAGTGAGGTCGCGTGAGCTCTACTGCAGTTGAGCAAGTCCGCCTATTCCTCCGGTATAGCATATTCTGTTGTCTTTCACGCGCACAAAATACACATGAAAATGCCGATGCGATACACACCTACAAAGAAAGTTGGCAATATGTGAACGAGACCAGCAGTCTGTGAAGCGAGTGGATGCATGACGAGCTTCGGGTTCACCGGCCGTATCGGCGATTTATCTACCCTGCGGGGAAATTCCACATTATGGTGGCCGACAGACATGGGCACAAGACCTGCTCGTTACCTATTCGGCGTGACCTGGAGCAGCCCGGTCAGGTTCTTGAAGAACTCGGGGTGGTTGACATTGACGGACTCGTTACTCGAAACCTGGCAATAGATCGCCACCGGTTACCCACCGGCGGCGACATGATGACCTCTGACACACTAATATATGTGCAACTCCCGGATGTTGGAAGCCTGGCAGCCTAAAATCAGTGTCTGAAGCACCAACACTCGATCAGTTGGCAAGAGCCCACTCACCGCACCAATGCGAGCGCGCTGGGCATGAATGGCCTGTCGATGGATAAACAGCAAATTGAAATAAGCCAGCGCTGTGGGGCTGGAGGACACGGAACTCCTGCTCCAGAAAAGCAGCGGAGTACATATCTCTGATCATCGTGAGTCCCTGATGTGATAATTATGATTGTTGATTATTCAATCTTCGGCAAGATGCAGCTGCTGGCGCCGTCCATGTTAGGACGACAGCCAATACAAGCCTTGCGCGACTTGCGTGGATTAGCTCCAGTATGGTATAGCTCCAGGAGAAATGTTGGATAAACTGAACGAAGAAGCACCGCAAATTTATGAGAAACAACTGTATGGGACTTCTGAACAGCTATTTCAGGCATAGAAAATATAATCATGAACCGTTTCATGAAGACGAACAAAAGGTAGTCAAATTCACGGGGAATGTGTCTTGGGAACAACGAAACTTCCTGGTTGATGGAGAAAGAAGGCACTCACACACAATTTAAATACAAATTGATGATATCACTTCCGGACGAATTTCTGAAGACGCACTCAGGGGCGCCGAAACCAAGTAAAAATGCCGATTTTGTTCAGCTCAATCCTGTAAGTTAATGACATTACGCGACATACCTGGTGTCCGGCGTCCTCCAGGAGTTTATTGGTGTAGTCCACCCAGGGGACAGTGGGTGCCAGCTGGCTCAGCTGATCCAGCGTCATTTTGTTGTAGAGTTTGGAAGCATTGCGACGCTCCTCCGCCGGCAGCGATATCTGTCGGCGGGACGATGAACAGAAGCTTGCTGACACGTCCGCGGTGGAAGGCTTCACGGATTGGGTAACCCCGGTGCTGCCCTTTCTTGTGGAATGGTGTAACAAACTGGAATGGGTACACATTTGGGGAAAATTATGGGTATGACTTTGATCACGGGCAAAGGGGGAAGCTTGCAAAATACTGCGCGGAGCTCGGCTGGCAACAGGCAATGGTTTCGGCGAAGGCAAATTTTAGGGAATCCTTCAGTCTGATCCAACAACGGGGTGTTAGACGAAGCCATACATCTCTGAAGTACTTTCTTAAGCAACACAACAGTTGAATGAACAAACTACATCGACCTAAGGTCAGGCATGAAGGTCACACTATGGCCAAAACCAACCTGCTTTGTAACTCTAGGGCTCGCTGTATGGGATAGTTTCTGGTGCTTATTTCGAATCTATGGCTAACAGGAACCGCATTATGCATCTTTCATGGACTTCTTAGAGGTCAGAATAGGTCATTGACCTAAAATGGCCCAGGCCAACATTTTGTTTTAGGAGCATACTGCCTAGCGTAATCTTTGTCTTTAAATCAAATGCAAAACTCAAAGCAACTTTGTATGATTTTGGTCATCTTGATCTTCAAAAAGTCAAACAAGGTCACTGACCTTGAATGAGCATGTAACCTTTTGGTTAAAAACGGTTATCTAGGTTCTGGGGGCACTTTGGAGACCAACCTGGAACTTGACCTTGTTTGACCTTTTTACCCGAAGGTCATGACCTAGGAACCTGAAACTTTGACTTAGGTGATTTCACGTACAGGTCAACACACGGTGTAAATTCGGTGTCTCTAGCTTTCTTAGTTTCCGAGATCTCAGGATGGGGGGTCAACTTGACCCTCCACCCGAGCGAAGGGTATCTAGCCGGCCATCCGGGCGCGTGTTAATCTTCGCCCTGATGGGGGTCGATGCACGACAGGTTTTTTAGGACAACTCGCTAGCATGCTGTATAATTCGCGCCCAAAATTTTGAGCAGTCTATGGGGCTTCTGTTGCACGTGTTTTGACACCAAACACGTGTTCCTAGCTTTTCTGATTGAGGAGTAGTGGCGTGTTTTAGGAACACCGCGCGGCGATCTACGGCTGGCGAGGGACGGCGGGCGCCAACCGACGACGCCACGGGAGGCGCGCGACGAGCCGACATTGTCACATTAACGGAGTCATGCATTGTAGATGCGGGTTCGAAACACATGATGTACACACCGTTGTACACGTAATTTAACAAGGAACACGCATGTTTACATTTTGTATCGCCATGGGGTGTGATCTCGTATGTATCATGTCGTGACGATGAAAAGTGTGTTTTAACGAAAATTCGACCTTTGAACTGGTATAATGGGTCCATTATTAACCTAATACCATATAATTTCGTACGAGTCGTGAGATCAAGTTGGACTAATCCACTGGTAATTTCTGTTAAGGTCTGTCTGCGATAGTTTGGAAAGGCTAGGCAGCGCATATTATCATTTCGCGTTATGAAACGGCGAATCAGGACAAGGGTTCAACCTGCCAATCGCAGCTTTAAGTCTGTATGGATTGTCACGCGCTGTATTTAGCTACCGAGGCCTTAACGTGATGACCCAGTCTAGGCCGTTTGGGGTTGGAGCGCCGGCGCAGAGTTCAGGGGAAAGCACGCTGGCGAATATCGGGCCTTTCAGCAGAGTTCTCCATCCAAATGTGCTGCACAGGCTTTACACCTGGCAAGGGGTTCTTCAAACTGTGGGGAGGAAAGTTTGCGCATATATGATGCCGCGTTAAAAAGTCATTGATGCGTCTTTTGCCGTTTCACAAGTGGCGGCTTGACAAAAGCCGACATTTTTGGGGACACGTTCCCCTTACCAAAGATATTACATCCATTCAAATGTGCGTGAATGAATATGTGCGCTGAACAATTCGAAACAAACACCTCACACTAACGAAATCGATAACATCCGATGTTGCGTTATAGTACGCGAGAAATTCCACTCGCACGCGGTTCACTTACTGGGTTTTCAGGGATTTTGAACCCGTCTCCTTCCCCGTCCATTGCGATACCCTCCATGTTGTCCAGGATCAAGTTTACAAACGGACTTTTTGTTTGCTAAAGTAATAGAAATAGTTTTTTCGCACACACAGTCATGCACCATTGTACTCAGGTCTAAACAAGGAACGCGCCGGTTTAACCATCGCGCTGATCGCCGGACCGATGTGGCTATCATAAGATTTTCTGAGAGTGCCCTCTCGGCATGTCATGCATTTGCGTCAAAACCTTAAAGTTATTTTTGTCGGTTTTCAGCGTATGAATGTAGCAAATTAGGAAAAGGTCACACGTGAATGTAGGCACAGCCCCATCGGTAGCGGACGGGTTGGGTGCAGGTAATTTTACTCGTGGAGGTCTCGTGGAGGTACCCGCCAATCATGCTCACTGAAAAGGCTCTAAGCCCATGACCTCACGTTGGCGAGCATCATCTCAAAACGAAGCGCAGACTCCATCTCTTGTTTGGCACGTTCTGGCTCGGCTCCCATCAGCAAGGCCATCTCCACCATGAAGTTGTAGTAGGCCTGCACGTCCGAGTCATTGAAACCTGCCGGGCGACAGGACAGATGACGTCACAGTGGTGCACGAGACTCAGACAAAACACAGGATACGTGCCTGCGCAGCAAACGCTCGTGTACGGTTGTTGTCCACTCACAGAAGAGAGCCCGGCAATATACCACGCAACGCCTGACTGACCTTTGATCAGGTATTTTCTGCCAAGGCCCAGCGACGTGTCGCCCAGGCTGATATGGCGGCGGGAGTAGTTCTTGACGTCGGCCGAAACGCTGAACGAGAACATGTGGCTGTCGGAGTAGCCCCTCTTCCGGTTTTGATACACGGCCTCCGTCCATTGGAAAGCATCCTCGTCCCATGCCGAGCCTGCAAAAGATAGATAGGTGTCATTCTCTGCCGCTAAGCGCGTGTTGTAGCATGAGGCAGCGCAGTGATGGACGTATTACACCCTTTTATTATCCAGTTATATACTTATTCGCCTAAAGAATCTTGGATGTTCAGAAATTACAAAACGGGTTTTTTTGTTTTGCTTTCTATGGTTCATAACGACTTCAGATGTTTGCATCCCTAGGTTTATTGCGTTATTAACATGCCTCAGTTAAGATTGGCTGCATGAGATGGGCATCTATCAGCGAGTGTCCGCCAGCAGACTTTATCACTTTTTGCCATAGCTTGACTCCTTACCTAACCTTAATCTTTCCTCCTTACCTTACCTTACCTAATAAATTTACAACATATATGTGCTTAAAGGAAATGTTCCACATTTGAAGATACTGCACCAAACATCAGTTGTGGTGAAAAAGCTCAGTTAAAAGCATTGGTGTACTTTTAAGCGGAAAGAGTGCTCCAGACAACAAATACATCTTTTCAATAAATAGGCTCCTCATTAAGTCATTGTTTGATTGCGTCATGTAACGTTTACATGATGCTGAGATCCAACCAAACTGACTATGAGAAATTGCCACCCTAACACTCACTTGTAGCACTGAAACTTCCAGGTAGGTGGATGGGCATGCTGGAGATGCTGCTGAACCAAATATTGTGACGTGTTCGTGTTTTGGACCTTTTCGTGATGTCCTTACATACTTATCCGTGAGTTTAAGGTGTTTACCTGCATTCACATGCCATTTATGGCGCAATTCTTAAGTTTTTCTCTTGCAAGTCTCATTTTCGTACTATCTAGTAGGGAGGTCCAACTTCTTGTATTATGTAGCACAAACGTGATTCGTAATTGAAACTCGCACAGACTGCACAATATTGCTTGGGGGGGGGGGGGCAATTAAATCATGCTACCTCGAGAAATCGTATTCACGAACGCCAGATATGAACAGCTCGTCGATTATATTCCTCCTGACCTTAAACGCGGCTTAGAAGCACATTTTGAATGACGTGCCTATGGCGTTATGCATGCCTGAGGGACATCGTCGTCGTCACTGGTGCTTCATGACACAATCGGCTGGGCCCGTATGGCGTCGCCTACCTCTCATCCTGGCAGTCAGGGTGGGCACCGGGGGAATCGAACCCTGTACCTCTGGTCTCACAGGCGCGGAGCGGTTAATGCAAACGCGTTAACCACTGCACTGCGCTCATCCCCTGAGTGGCGTTGAAATAGTTTGCACGAAAATGTCTGCACATCAGCAGACGTATAGCTCAGAAACTAGAGGATTTTGGGTCTTGAGAAGGGCAGGACTATGAACTGCACCGAAGAATCGTCAAGAAGGCTATTTCGGTTCAAAACCCATGCGAATGTGGGACATCTTCAACACGTGCCCAGGTAACCGGTTGAATATGACGACACCCGAATGGGGAACTCACAACTAAAAGAGCTAGAGACACCAACTTCGGGGGATATATAGGAATAGGTTATGGTCCTCGGCACAAAGTAGATCAAGCAAGGTCAAGCTAAAGATCCGTGTACGAAGTAGATCAAGCAAGGTCAAGATTAAGGTCCGTGTACGGGGTAGATCAAGCAAGGTCAAGCTCAAGATCCGTGTACGAAGTAGATCAAGCAAGGTCAAGATTAAGGTCCGTGTACGAAGTAGATCAAGCAAGGTCAAGCTTAATATCCGTGTACGAAGTAGATCAAGCAAGGTCAAGATTAAGGTCCGTGTACGAAGTAGATCAAGCAAGGTCAAGCTTAAGATCCGTGTACGAAGCTTTCTCAGACCTCCTCATGCATCTAGCTTTGAGCTAGATGTCTTTAATAAACAGGAGGCTACTGGTGTTTATTTCAGGTCAATAACCTTCAGAGGGTCCCTGTGACCAAAATCCTGAGAGAGGGTTTTGATTTTTGAATTTCATTAAGCGTCAAGGACGTTATGCTGATTACGCTAGGTGGTATGTTCCTGAAAACTATAGGTTGATCGAAGTCATTCTAGGTCGCTGACCTGTTCTCACCATGATAAAGTTTGAATAGCACTTTTGCTGGCACTCCTAAGATCAAGAAATTGGAAATGATAGTCAAAAACTACCCCACAAAACTATGCCATCTGGTTTTGACCTCTATTTGCCGCATCAACTTGGACGATTTCCTTGGACCTGATAGCCATGGTCTGATTTTGACTTAGCAGAGGTCAGCGATCTTACAGGGCAGTGATAGTTTCTTTACATCAAAAGATTGGATACTTTATTGGCTACGGCTATACAAAGTTAAGCACAGATTTGCCACGCTTTTCAGAAGTTTTGTTGCAAGAGCCTTCGGGGGCGGGGCAAATTGACCGCCCGCCCGAGTGCGTACTGAGATTGTAAAGGTTGTTGTTAGCTTAGTTGCTAACTAGCAAAATACAAGCGCTAGGCCGCCAAATGTGATCATAATTTTACCAATGTCCCGAAGAATGAAGATAGCACGCTCAATTTCGTTGAAGTGTGCGGACACACTAATCTTTTTTGGTAGATTGAAGGTAAAATCTCAACGTTTTTCGCTAGAATAATGTGCTGAAAAATGGTTGAAGGATTTTTTACGGCGTCCAACCAATGCTAAAAATGATTAGGAACGGAAACATAAAATGCTGGTTAGCCTCAGGGTTGCCACATACTCCGCTATCTCACCTTTTAGCACGGGCCATCCTCCCATCTCGTCCAAGATGTCGTGCAGTGGCTGCAGGCCTTGCTTCTCGATGGTCTCTACGCAGGGAAGCATGCTTAGAAGGGCTTGTAAGAAAACACCACTAGCACCTCGCCTTATGTCAGTTACGCGGACACATGACACGTACGTTTCTGTGTGAGCTTAAGGGTTGAGTGTGGCCGAAGACAAACTTACGATGGTGGCACTGGACGACTGGGCCTTCGGGGCATGTTATCTCACATAACATCAATGCGGTCAAATATAATATAATGTTTGGTGAAGATGCTCAAACATGTCGTATCAAACGGTATGATAAAGTCACCACAGTGCCGGACGAATTAGCAACAGGATGCATTTTTAATCTATCTTCCACTGAAAGACTCTGAACGCGTGGCAGTGACCAAAGCTCACCCTTATCCATGCAGCTTTTGAAGTATTTCTTCAACAGGACGGCGGCTGGGGCGTCATCATCTAAGATTGGCGAGTCGATCAGCTTCCTCATCTGGACCTGGAGTTCGTCGTGAAGGAGGCTGAATTCCGAGACAGACGACTTCTCGTCCGGAACGACTGTACTCTTGTTGAACTCTCCGCATGCGAAGGCGAAGAAGTCGTCGCACGGCTTCACACTGGTGTCCATCCTGTTCAGGATGTTGTACGCTGCGGCAGTCGGCCATTTCGTGATCAGGGCTGGACCGAATCGGGAAAGCTAAGACAATCTTGTTTTTCTGTTCTCTATAACTGCTGGGACAAGAGCGCAGAGTTGCGGCGCCGAACAATGAATGGTAGCGTGGCGCAACGATCTCGGTAACTGACTGAAGTGAATTTTTTCGGTGCGCCTTATTCCTTGACAATTCAACCAGCTCAGCCCATTTGTCAAAACTCGTATTCCCACACATCCGCGTCGTCCGTTGCGATCGTTTTCTAAACAGCGCACGTCTCAGGATAAGGTATAGCACGGTCGTCACCGATGTTATTTAACAAAGCCAACATTGGCCGAAAGCAGGGTCGATCAAAAGTGCAAAGTTCGGCAACGTCTCTCCGATGCTCCCGCATAAAGATCACGAAACAGTAGCGCGCTCGGGCCGCCCGTTACCGGCTGTGACGCAGCTCTTGCTGAGGCAGAGCGAAGGTGACCACTGGGGTTGACTGCTTGCCGCTGGGGCAATGGCACGTCGCTGCAGTCGCGGCCCGGCCTCTGCGGGAGAGCACACCGTGGAGGCAGTCAGTGCCGACAGCTGGAGCGGGCCGGTCGAAGGAGCACGGACCGAGCGGTTCGGCGTGACGTATGGCGTGCGGCACGTATGGCGTGACGTATGGCGTGCGGCTCTGGTCGGATGCTACAAGCTATATCCCCTGACAGCATATCCCGTGTTGGTGCAGGTCAACCAGGAGTCAAATGCAAGGCCAATAACTGAGAGTGTTGAGATCGAACACAGAATTGCTAAAAACTAGAGGACTGAATGGAGCGACGCCCATGGGCGAGTTGCACAAGCCTTAGGAACTCTTCCGAACCCAGCACATGACGTGTCATCTCATGTGCAAACGTGCGCGCATGACTGAGCACTCACGTCTGGCGTGCACAGAGGCCGCCGATCCCGTTGGAAAGAGGCCGCATCCAAGAGCCGCCAGGGTCGCCAAGATGGCCATCAGTGTGCGATGGCACCCCGGGTGATGGGAGACACCCGCCATTGGCTGTGACCTGTGGATGCAAACCGGCGCAAATTAGCGATCTCGACCGCTGTCACAGTGTCATATTGACACAGAGTTTGTTGCGTTTGCACTCATGTTATTTTCGCATGGGCCGGTGAGAACGACGAAAATTGAAACGTTTGTTCAAAATGTCATCGAAAGGACCTCACGCTGTGATGCAACAAAGTATATATCACGGCAGTAACATTTCCAGAATTCTTGAACACCTCTAGATATATTCAGAAATATAATCTCTAGAATTCTCCTAAGTCTCTCGGACAAGAAATACATTAGTAGGCATCTAACTCTCCTGGGCAACAGATCGCTCACCACATGCCATCTGCCCCGACGGAACCTAAAATATGGTTGCCATCCGTAATGTGTTTTGATGCCTCCTTTAAAACCCATCTTCAGCGACCCGCCCCCCCCCCCCCCCGCCAGCCGTCTGTTCCATCAGATAGGCCCGGGTTCGCAGGCGATCTCGCTCTCTGTGACTGGTTTAGATACCCATCGCAAAATGTCGTAATCGTTTCTCATTGGTTAATAATCATACCATTTCCACGGCACATGATTATGACTCGCTTCCGATTGGAGCTAATTTTAAGACGAAACGCTTGTCACTATGCCTGCCCATATGTTCATAGACACGAAGACGCAAGGCTGCTGTTGGTTGTGCACGTGGACATCGTGGCGTGGAGTAAGTATTGGCGAGTATGAGGCACTGGGTGATAAGAGGTCAAGGCCGAAAATTTCTATGTTTGCCTGACTCGCGGAAAAAAAGCGGGCGCGAGCGACGCCGTCACTGGTCTAACCATCACGCAGACGGCTATAAATACGCTTCAGAAAGTGACCTAAACAGGGTGCTGTTAACTTGACCCGCATGCAGAGTACAGGCGGCGATTATTGTGATCCTGTGTTTGAATTGTGATAACGGAAATTAAGACGTACTCTGGGGAGGGGGGCGGGGGGGGGGTAATTCGACCATGCCCAGGGTTTTTAACACAACAATTTCCGGACGACGCGGGATAGCCGCGCCAAACTTTGCATAGCAGTTCTAACCTTGTATACAAAGCATATTTGTTATTTAATAACTTTTAATCTTTTTGGATACAAAGTTGGATGTGCCTTGTAGGGTTTCCGATCTTTTGGCAGGTCGAAGTCAGGCCGTCGCTGCCAGTGAAGACAAATTCCAGAGAATCGTCCAACTTGATGGGACAGCGGAGAGTTAAGCAAAACAGTAAATCTCGGAGATAGTTTCTTAGGCACCAAAACAGTTAACTTTAGGACACCAGCAAACTGATTTGACCTATGCTCAGGCGTGAAGGTCAGATCGAGGTCAAAGCAATCCGCTTTTTCACTCCAGGTTTTGCTGTATGAGGTAGTTTATGCTGCTCATTTTGAGTTTATCAACATCAGGGACCGTAACATACATCTGCCATCATCATCATCATCATCACCGCCGCCACCACCACCACCACCATCATCATCATCATCGTCATTGTTATTATTATCACCATCATCGTCATCATCCGACATTTTGGACTTCTTAAAGGTCAGAGAGATCAGTGACCTAAACTAAGCTAGGTCGACCTTTCGTTTTTAGGAACACGCCAGCTAGCCTTATCCTTAACTCTGATTCAAATGCAGAAATCAAAGCAGTCGTAGTATTTTGGTCACCATGACCTTCTAAGCGTCAAACAAGGTCACTAACCCTGAATGGATGACTGAATGACCGGGCATTTTAGGTACCAATCTGCAGTTTGGCCTTGTTTGATCGTATTTGAACCAAAAGCCAAAACCTAGGAGCCTCAAATTTATACAGAATTGGGTTCAGATACAGTTCAACCCACCCTGTGAATTTGGTGTATCTAGCTCTTATAATTTTTGAGACCTCACGTGGTCGAACTGTTTCCCCCCAACCCCACTCGAATATAGGATATGGAACCGGCCACCCGGGGGCATGTTGATCTTCTGCCAAATAGCAGTATATCCTGATTGATCTCCTGTCAAAATGCCGAAATATGGTTTCAGCAAATGGCAATTAGGTGAGTGGAAATCACCGACAGGTAAATTCATTGCATGCCTTTTTGTCGTGATGTGAATTTAACGAACAGCAATCAGACGGACACAGATTTGTCGAATGGCTCAATAGTTAAAGTCTCGCATAAACGTCCATGACAGGATAGTCAGCATTTTCTGACGTGATAACCCCAGGAAGATCGTAAGAGCAGTCCATAGATTGCTTTCAGCGTTGACGCTAAAGGAATATATCGTACGAATCAGGAGAGAAGCAATCGCATCACCATTCTTCCGTCATCCGCATTGATCATGGATCATGTGCAGGGCCCAAACAGGCCCCAATCACAATCGTTTTGCGCTTCATTCCATGCACAGGCGTCGGCGGCGTGCGTCCGCTGACCCGCCTTTCATGCTGTGGAGAGCGCAGCTGTGCTGCAACTTCGTTAACATTCCGCAAACATGTTTAGGGTAACCTCGGTGTCATTGATAAAACAGCGAATTTGCCATTAGCCACTATGACGTCGATAAAACACAACTTCAGGTTTAACCCTTTGCTTCCACGTCCCAGTGTTTAGAGAACTTTTAGTTTTTTTCGTTGCCTTTGTCACAACAAGCTTGTTACTACCCAGATCATTTTTCCTAAACTTGCAAGGCGATCCATTCATCATACGTGCTCAAATAAGCCTTCATAAGCTAAATGCCCGAATTAAGTCGTGGCGGGCATCACGGGACCATGCCCCAACCCTGTCTGGCCTTGATACCTTGGGCAGGTGCGTCGTACACGGCACTCTGTTTGGTATTCCATCACTGGTTGGGCGGGCTGGGACAGGTGGCGGGGGTGTGCCTCCTCTGACCTGCTGTCCTTGCCGAGGAGAGCGTGGTTCAGCTGCCTGTCGGACGGGGGCGAGCAGGGCTTCAGGACGGAGCTGGAGCGCTGCAAATCGGAGATAATGGCATTTCATGAGAGCCGCAGGTTACCATTCGTCATTAGGTCGATCTCGTGATACAGAATGGTGGCCACCTGTATGGATTTGGGCACCGGATAGTCCTCTGTTTACTATTCCAGTCTGCCATCGTTCGATCTTGAAGTCTATAGAGTTGCCTCAGCAGGCAGAAATCCCTCGGGTCTTTGACTAACGGGTCAACATACGACCTCTGGAAGGATGCACACGGGGTTACCATGATCACGCCATGAATTTTCCACATGAACTGGGGCTAAGGTGCGCCTCCGAAGCTTTCCGCATGCTTGATGGTGTTATTACTGGTTACCGGTCTAAAGCTACTGTTCCAACGACTGAGTCTAAGCGATAACGGAATTAGCAGCGCACTAACTCCGGGAAAATCATAATCCAGCTCGAGCCGAGTATAACAGCGATCACATTTGTGTCATCCGCTCACTTTCTCTACTTTAGGGCGCTCTTGACCTAATACATGAGCCGAACCAGGCTTGCAAAATCTCCTTCACAACCCGCACGATCCGCTCAAAACCAGTTATCAAAGGCAGATTCTTAGTTTTGCGCAGTCAGGCACCGCAGCCCCAAGCGATAGGCATCGGCCCTGTGTGGCTATTAGTTTTGAATAGGAGATAGCCCTCCTGCAGAGCGTCGGCTTCCTGCACGGTGCGCTGCATGAATGATGTCCTGCGCAGACATGGAAGGAGGTTCGCCGTAGCCCGTTCACGGTTTGGAATCTGGCGAAGGCCATCGGATGTGCACGTTTAGCTTTCCAATAGTTCAGCGAAAATACCTCATGCAGACGTGCATGTTTGTGCTTTGAATATAAATTTGCCTTAATGCTT